TTTGCAAGTAGGCCAGTGCGCCGCCATTTTAGACATAAGAAAAATAAAAAAATATTTTTTTAGTTTCTTATATATGTACAATAATGCCCTCTAAACAGATTTTAAATAAAGTTATCCATTTACTTACAAAAAAAATCCCAAACTTTAGGTATCGTTCTAAAACTTCAAAGGTGGTGTAACCCTTTAAGTTCCCAAGAATAAATCAGAAATAATGAAGCAATATCAATTCAAGTTAATACGGATATTGATATGGTGGTATAATAATTTTTATTGTTACAATATCCAGCTACACACAAACTTCATGTCGCATTTTTTATCGGTCTTAAAACACAATATTTTTACATGAATCTATTGTAACGAATTAAATTGACAAGCAACTTAAAATATTAAATTAATAAGCATCAAAAACATTAAGTTGCTCGTCAATTTAATTTGTTACAATGGATTCCGACTTTATATAAAAATTATGTTTTAAGACTGACAAAAAGTGCACGGCGAAGTGTGTGACTGGATATTGTTACAATAAAAATTATTATAAACACCAACATCCGTGTTGACTCGCATTGGCATTGCTTATTTCTAATTTATAAAAGAGTAATTACATTATACATATATTATTGCTGAATATTTGATGTTTTATGAAAGAATTATTGTTTGAAAGTTTCTTATTACAGTACCAGAGTTGAGCTCTAAACGATCAAAGAGAGATTGAACGTATTCAGATACTTGTTCCGCTTGTTAGTCTCGGCACGAGCAATCTTATTTCTAATTATGACATGCATGATCACAAATTAAATCATAATACAACGGATTAAAAGACATAAATGTTACATAAGAAATTTCAGTTCTTTAATTTTATTTCAGTCTCAAATCAATATAATTATATTATTAAATAAATAACTTTTTTACTTATATCTTACATCTAAGAAATCTATGCTAATCTGCTCTATTCTTCTTTATTTTTTTTCTACTAAACTAATTTAAATTTTTTAAAAGATAATATATTAATTTTTAAGGATAACTTTAACAATCTTGTAATTTGTAATCAATATATGTATATTGTAATGGAAATAGCACTTAAAAAATATAAATATTCTGTGTCTTAAGAAGTGCAATCTTATATCATTTATTTAAAATACATTCATAAAAAATTATTAAGGAAAAATTATTTTCTTGTAAATAAAACTACTACTTAATATTCAAAAAAATCAGTTATATTTAGATCAAAATAAGTTTAATGAATATATATTTTGACATTGCTATTAGAATTAATAAAAAGAGATATGACAAAATAATAATTATTAAACTCACGTAAGTTTGCCCTGGTTTGTGTATTTTTTCCTCCCATTCCAGTAGAACTTCCACCGCTTCCACATACTCCTCTTTAATGGCATACAAAAGTGCATCCTGAAAGATACGTGAATTATGATTTTAAGTGTGTTACGCTCTTAGGCGTCGGGATATAACTAAGATACTGTATAATGTAGACAATTAATTATAACACTATTATAGTTGCCTATATTGTTTTGTATATGATATAGAAACTTTATTTATCGACAAATATTCGTTTTATTTTTTGTTATTATCGATCAATAATACATGTTTCAATAATTTTATTAATTTCAATAATTTTATTAACATTCACCGATCTCGCACTTATGGAAATTAAATTTCGGTTAAATTTAAATTTGGTTGAATCGCAATCTAAAATCAATCAATTGAAATTTTAGTATTTGTAGTCTTTTTCACGTTGATCAAAAGTATCAATTTTTAAACTTCAGATCAATAACTCGAAAACTGTTTATTTTTTCAAGTATGCCTTAACACTTTTGATCAACATAAAAAGACCATCAATTTTTATTAAATTTCATCCAATTTAATTTCCATAAATACGAAATCTTTACTTATTGTTAGACTTCTTTGCTTTCAATATTATATATCAATAATACGATTAGCAGCATTTAAATTTGAATGAAACATTTTAAAAGCATTTTCTGTAAAGATGAACACATGATCCAAAATGTGTCAGATATATATATGTATGGAACTGTTATTAGCGTATCCCGGTAGACCTCGATTACAGTATATCAGCGTGACACGCATTATCAGCAATAATTAGGGGAGCGGCCATCGCGCATGATTTTCATGAGAGACACCGTGCCGTTTCGACCCCACGATATTTACCTTCACTTCAATTCCCAATTCGAGCAACAGCTTGATAAGGTCGATATTTTCGTTTTCAATAGCAGCTATCAGTGCCGATCGATTTAACGGATCAACGCAATTGATATTTAATATCTCCGGATGATCTCGATTCTCTTCGATTAACCTGTTCGATAAATTACACAACAATTACCTTTTTTTATTATTGAGACAATTATCTTTCACATACATTATAAAAATGTCTAAAGAAATTCATTGTATAACAATTATAGCAATCTCATCACAGAATGATCTTCAATATTTGTTTTGGCAAAATTTGCACCTTTTTACGTGCATAACTAAAATATATTCTTATAAATCTTTTTAATCTTATTTTTAATTAGCAATTAATGCATTAAGTTGATAATCCATAATCTTCAAATACAATATTTACATACTTTCACTGATCTAATTCTGCTGATTGAAAGTTTTATAAATATATTATCCTACATAAATAATAATCAATAATAATAAAAGCGGTTTTTTCTTTAGAAAGGCAAAAGTTATACAACTGTTAGTCAACAACTCTAATTAAATTTGAAATATTATTAAAGTAACTCTCAATAATCCTTAAAATAATCGTCATGATATATTAACAAATCGTAATTACTAACGTAAACCTTCCATGCGTCTAACTCACAATCTTTTCAATTTATTTAACAGTTAAATGAAATATTCGCGCAATATTGTTTTATTATTCCACTCTTTATTGATATTGACATATAAAAAGTAATGATCAACTAAATAGTATGATTATATATAAATGATAAAGTAAATAGAAAACGTGTCATTTTTCCTTTTAGTAATTCATTTATTAGCTTTCGAATAAAAAAGGAAAAAGAGAATATTGGATTTAAAATCTAGAATATTTTTCTATTTCTTTTTCATAAATGTAATATTATTAGTAATAATTTACGGACTTTCGCGATCACAAAAGAAGAAATAATAAATAGCAAATTATATTTTGCATAGAAAGTTTGAAATTTGTCTAAAACTTTGTAATTAATAGATTTATTAATTTTTAAAATTCTTATTTTTAATCTTATTAAACAATATATTAAGATACATATATAATACATTATTCAATAAAGAAGATATACGTCATAAAAATTTTACATTTCTTTATTAATAATTTTTTATAAAAAAATTTTTTTAGACTTTTAAGACGTTAAGAACGTTAATAGGACTTTAACTGTATATCAAAATCAGAACTGTTGACATGTAATTTTGTCTAAATGTTTTAATTACATCTAATTACATATTTAATTTATATCGTAAAGACAAGAGAGATTATTTTAAAAACCTAGATTAGTCTAAAAAACTAGAATAAAGAGATTATTCTAAAAAGTTTATATTACGCCTTGACCAGGATATCCTCAAAAGGGCATTAATGCAAAGAAATGCAGGATTACCTTTTGACAGTGGCACAATCACCTCGTTCCGCGCTAAGCAGGAAATGCTTCTCGACCGGGCCAAGAATATAGTCAATGGGTGCCTGTAGCGATTGCACCGAAGGCGGTCTCGCCTCATTTGAAAGTAGATCCTGCTGAGACTCTGACGGATCCATTTCTCTCTAACGTATTCTTGAAATAATGTTTATACACGCTGTATAAACTGCTGAAGCTGTTAAAATTATAAAAACATTCTTCTCACTTAAAATACTTTCTTTCTCTCATTTAAAATTATAAATGCCCTAATTTCCATAATTTTGAAGTTGAAAATGCCGAAAACTCTTAAATCACCGAATGTTTTTTTTCAATTACTAAATAATAAAATTTTTTAGTTGCAGAATTGATTTTTTTGCAACGAAAACATAAAATTAGTTATAGTTTTGAAATAATAAATAATGCTAAATAAAAGGCAAATTAAATTTAATAAAGAAATGGCAAATGGTCTGTAATCTACTTTAAACGGTGCTTATTTTAACCGCTTAATTAATATTTCGTATATGTTCTTCTTTCGTTTAAAATAAAAAAAGCTTAAGTGATAAATTAATTTGTAATAAATTAAAATAGACATACTTAGAATTTATAATAATTTAAGAAATCTTAAACAGGCGAAATCAGAAAGTTAATAAGATAAAAATTAATAAGAATTAATCTAAATTTTAATTACATAATAAAGATATATGACATTGGAAATAATTATTTGTTATGTCATTGATGAATAATAATTTCTTTCTATATTTCCGTAACGAAGAAATTAAAAATTAAAAAATTATTTGTAAATTTATCAAAAAAGTTGTAGTTAAAAAGACTTTTGCCATTTTGAAATTTTTATATTTTTACTCTAAAAGACATTTAAAAAGAAATTTTGTTTTCTATTTTAGCATTTTAATTCCAAAAATATGGAAATTGATTTATAAAAATCTCCTTAAAAATATAATAAATAGTATTACCTAACATGCTGCAATTAATATGGAAATATTTATGGAAATATTATGGGATTAATGTTGCCGAATTCACGTTTTATACGCAAAAATATAGTCACTTTATTCAATATAACATAATACTTCCTTTATTACTAGCGCTCACTCCGTTATGTATAGAGTTCACCAAGAATGAGTCACGCGTTTTTTGGGTTAAGAACTAGATATTTTTAAAATGACGATTTTTCGCAAAAATAGAAGAGTTCTATTCTGTATGTATGACATGTAATCTTGAGCTCATGCAAAATATAACAACAAGAAACGAGCGGATACAAATGCGATGTTATATCATAAGCATAAGGCTTCCTGTGCTTACGATATACATCACAAGAAATTTAGAACAACTAGTGTAATGTTTTTTAATTTTACATTCAATTATCATATGTAATTTTTAAACAAAAATATGCTATACGTATAATACTAACTGTAATAAAATTTATAATAAAGACCCGTATAAACGAATAGCATTCGCAAAAATCAATTATTCAAATTGATTGGCAATCAAAAAAGTAGAAATAATAAAAAATAACATTTTAAAATTAATCTTCTGATCTGATCTAATTATAAAGAAAGAAGAAACATTATATTAATTTACACTAATAAATTTAATTGTAAATTTAATAAAGATAACAATTTATATTTATTTATTAATTGATATTAATAAATTTAATTTACAATTAAATTTATTAATATCAATTAAAAAATAAAATATAAATTGTTATCTTTATTAAATTAAGTTTTAAAAGACTTATTGTTAGATTTATGTTATAAAATTTCATGCGTGCGAGCATGTGTGTGTGTGTGTGTGTGTGTGTGCACGCGCATATAAAATAATATCTATATTGACGATAATGAATTATCTCTTATTATAATAAATTTAAATTCGAAATCCTCACTGACGCAACAAACCGATATAACGAGCCTTAAATATTGCACAAAAATTAAAAATGAAACTACATATTACAGAATACATAAAATTATGCTTAAATATTTTTTTCACAAACTGCTCATTTTGAATAATATTGGATAGAAAAAAGACATATTGAATTAGCTTCTGAAAATTATTTCAGCTCCTTGTATATTTTATGCGAAAAAAACATAAAAAATATAAGTATAGATAGTATATGGTCGGATTAACGTATTTTATATTCAATATCTTTTGTATCTGATATTTAAAAATTGTTGCATGTATAATAGAAATAATTTAGGTAAAGAGACACTTGTATCTTCCTAAACGTTATTATTTATGAAATGATTTAGGTAAAGAGACACTTGTATCTTCCTAAACGTTATTATTTTACGAGTGGATTTCATGACATCGTGTTATCCTTAAAACTGTTTTTTTTTATTTTCTATATATAATTATGTGTTAAATAAATTTACTTTTAAAAAACTATTTCATGAGAAACCTCTAAACTTTAACGGAGTATAGAAAATTACGTAAAAAGACGGCGAGAGAGGTGGCATCTCTCGTCGTCGCAGTTCGGTCGTACCATTTTGTAAAAGGGAATGTATTGTACTTACGTGCCTTTTTCATGTCGATGTCGATATGCTTGCGCGATATGCTTGCCAGACGTAGACTGTATAACGATCACATCTACCCGTGCAATTCGACGAAACCTTATGACATTGCGTCAGGCGGATTGATGTTCCAGGGCACGGATTAAGCACGAGGGCGAGGCGTCGCATACCGAAAGAAAAGAACTCAGCCGGACTCACCAGGGACTTACCACATTGTCCAGTATTATATAGCATTGGCGTTATCACTACGAGGTGTGTGTGCGGGTCGCGGGTGAGAATCTCCTTCTCTTTCCGTCTAACTCCCCAAATAATGGATCGCGAGAATTCTGTGACGGCGAATAGAAACTAAATCCGAAGCTCGTATGCCGCCAACGCGCCCTGGCTCATTTTTCTTCATATTTTTCACCGCCCGCGTAATTATTTGTCTCCTCCCTCGACGACGTGGTGTCATTTCCGTGTTTAGTGCGACGCATCCGTAATAATTCAAGAAATAAATACAGAGAAAAATTGTAAAATTAATAAGGGCTATTCCTCGTGAAGCGGATCAGTCATCTCTCAGAAATTTTTTTAATTTTGCACAAAGGTAGTACTCTGGGAGATAGAATTTTGTGCCAAAGGATTTTTTTCTTATTGCAAAATTAATCGAGATATAAACAATTAAAAATTAGACTATTTTATTTTTCAAAAATTTATAGCTCTGTTACTAATAATGCTAGCTAACTGCTTTTTTTAAATACGCGAAAAATGTTCTGGTTTACAGGAAAAAA